TAGCCTCGTCACTAACCGGCGAGAACCCTCAGTGAAGGAGATCCGTAGTTTAAAATCTATACTGATTTATATTCTCTCCATATGAACTCGCTTAAAGTCCGGATGGGGTACCAATCAAGGCATGGAAGACGGAAAGTATGAGATCAGTGCTTCACCCGAATTCCAAACAATGTTACTACCAAGGCTATCACAAAGTGATAAGCATTCGTTATCTTTTAACCGTTCCCATAGCTTTAACATTCTACACGTTCTCATAGCTCTGACATTGTACACGTTCTCATGACCTTAACATTTCTATGCGCTCCCATGGCCTTAATGCTTCTGTATAAACAAAGGCTCATTCGGAGATCGAAAACATAGATATGATAGGCATACAAGCTCGCTGCCTCTTCCTCAGCTCAGCCGTCCGCTAGTCGGATTAGTGTGCTGATGCCTTCGGTGCTTCTATCAGTGCTTAGGTGCGTTCTCGTTTGGGGTAGTTGGTGCTCATATTGATGCGATCCGGTGCAATTTGGTGCATTGCTATCTAGTGCAGGTAGATTTGTAGTTCTGATTGATGTCTTTGGAGCTTTGTAACCCTTTTATCTATCCCTGCTGTATTTGTATTTCCTATGGTGCCTTGCTTCGTTACCATTGTTTATGTTATAACTTGTTCATACCCCATTACTCGTTAAATTCACTTTGTTTTCTACTTTTCACTTGGTTCAATTACCAAGAATTGAGATGTGTCATTAAAGATACCACGTGGCAAAGTGTTCTAACACATGGAGCATCGGCCGGGAAACGAACTCGGGCGCCAGCGTGGTGGGCTAGCATTCTATGACTGAACCACAGCCGTCAATGGGACAGCAGTCAAATCGCATTGTAGACTTAATCGAAATCTTCAGTGGGTTTTGCAAAGATATGAGTCTACAACCATCCTCAGCAAGAAGTGGAAGGCCAGAAAGGACAGATGCAAGAAGCAACAGGGATGGTAAAGGCGGTACGGGAAGACATTTATCGCGGCTGTTTCGCGATCCTTAGGAAGAATTCCCGTAGTTACGTAGACAAACAAGATCGCTTATCGTAGAGAAAAGAGGATTCCTCTTAGATCGGGGTACGGAATGTAGAAACATACACGTTGACATATTATATTATATTATATTATATATATCTATATATGTTGGACGATTGATGGTGCTTATGCTCACTTGCTCTTATTCTCCGCACTTGCAATAAAACTGTTATTCTCGACTACTGAACCAGACGCACAGGAAACGGTATCCAGTAAAACATTGTCGAAATAAACCAGAAGCAGGCTGCAACAGGAGCGAAAGGTGTCTTTCTTACGGAACAACTCAAGACAAAGGATATGGTGCAAGACAGTGCCTGGAGAATTGGACGAGTTAAAAGATCAGACCGAGGAGTTGGGGCACGACGCAATGCCTAGAGGAGTCGAGGAAGTAGAAGACTCACTGGAGTCGATAGATGATTATGACTGTCAGCAGGAATCCGAATGTCGAGCTGAAGAGTCTCTGGTGTACGACGAAGATCAACTTAACAGGCTTCATGAACCCAAGCAGGAGGACTCAAAGGAACAAAGGCAGAGTCGATCAGAGCGCAGGAAAGGCACAGAAGAACAGTCCTCGGATCCTCTAGAGCCCGAACAGAAACGGAGGAAGCTCATAAAAGAGATCGAAGAGTTAAACAGAGACATCCAATCCAACCGACAGCGCCCCAATGAATTATGGCGTATATCACCGAAATGAGAGAGGAAGAAAGGTATTTGCACTGTTCGTTTTGTAAACGGAAAAGACTACACTACAGCAATAACTGTCTCATCGTAAGCACTATGAGCGAACGCTGTAGACGCGTCTGGTGCAATAATTGCCTGGATACCGTACATCCGAAGGATCGATGCTGGAGGGAAAAGACAGTTCGCAAATACTGCTCTTCTCGGAAACACCACTGCCCATGATGTGAGTCACCGGAAAGGGCCGAGCGCATAGAGGCAATGTTCAAATCACTGCAGCAGGAACTGGAGGATTTTGAACAGCAATATGGAGGACCTCCACGTTAGCAAGTTGGTGCGCAGTATCACAAGGTGATAAACATGCGTTATCTTTTAACCGTTCCCACAGCTTTAACATTCTACATGTTCTCATAGCCCTAACATTCTACACATGTCCATGGCCTTAACGCTTCTGTATAAACAAAGGCTCATTCGGAGATTTAAAACATAGATATGATAGGCATACAAGCTCGCTGCCTCTTCCTCAGTTCAGCCGTGCGCTCATCGGATTAGTAGTGTGCTGATGCCTTCGGCGCTTCTATCAATGCTTAGGTGCCTTCTTGTTTNAACATTCTACACATGTCCATGGCCTTAACGCTTCTGTATAAACAAAGGCTCATTCGGAGATTTAAAACATAGATATGATAGGCATACAAGCTCGCTGCCGCGAGGATTTCTCCTCAGTTCAGCCGTGCGCTCATCGGATTAGTAGTGTGCTGATGCCTTCGGCGCTTCTATCAATGCTTAGGTGCCTTCTTGTTTGGTGCAGTTGGTGCTCATATTGATGCGATACGGTGCAATCTGGTGCATTGCTATCTGATGCAGGTAGATTTTGGCTCTTGATTTCTTTGGAGCTTTATAAACCTTTTATCTATCCATGCATTCGTATTTCCTATGGTGCTTTGCTTTGTTGCCATTGTTTATGTTATAAATTGTTAATACCTTGCTACTCGTTTATTACACTTTGTTCTCTACTTTTCACTTGGTTAAATTACCGCAGTTCGAGGTGTGCCGATAAAGATACCGCGTGGGAAAGTGTTCTATCACAGGAGCCACAGATACCTGATGGAACAGTATTGTTCTTTCCATCTCCAAGCAGGAGGTAGACACGTCTGGCGTTCCAACGACCGAGGGATTAGATTGATTGTTCACACTGAAACTAGTTCTGGCCATTCCAGATCGAGGAAAGGCCCGTGGACCGCTTTCCGTAATCCATCCTCCCAAGAGCGCTTCGAGAGAGAAAGATCCCAGAACACCTGGTCCATGTGTTCGACGGCATGTACGATGGATCCAGGACAATAATACGCACTTCGCACGGCTTGACCGAAGCTATAGTCCAGGTACGCTAGGTTCAAGCTCTGGGCCCGTTCCTCTTTTCAATAACTTTGATTTTGACCACAAAACGAACTTCGAGGTTTAAGAAAAGCGACCACGAGAAGCATCAAAAAAGAGATGACGGAACGTGATCAAAAAGGAAACGAGAAGTAAAAAGCTAAATCACAGCAGGAGATGCTGTAGGTAGAAAGAAGTGGAGACGGTGGACAAGAATATTAGATCTTGTGATATTGACTAATTTTGACTGAAGAAAAAGAAAAGACGATCGATTTTCAATCAGAGTAAGGCTGAATACCTTTCAGCATTTTTATGTGCAAACCATCTTGTGGAATTCCGATCAAAACAGCATGCGAAGTATCTCGTATTAGAAGTTAAATATTCGTTTTCAAGAAGAATCCATTTAAGGTTATAGATCTGTTTACGAGAAAAGCCTGAATGAGGAGAACGTGGGAAGAACCCAGCTCCTTTGCTGGAAAAATACAGAGGAATGTGCCGATGGTTGAGAAGAAGGACCAAACCAAACAAATACGATTGAATCAATAAGACGTCATGTTCCACAAAAAAAAAAGAAACAAAAGTGAACACCGACAAAAAAACGCTCAATGAGCTCTAAAGTGAACTATTCATAAGATTAGTTCAATTCTGTTGATGAAAGATAAAAGATATGAAGAGAAAGTTGTACATGTGTGCATGAAAAGAATTCCCCAAGCTTTTTCTCAGAGACGATCTGATCATGGGCTTTACAGTTGCTCTAGATGTGTAAGAAATGCTGACATTGAAGTGTTCAAGAATAGGTGAAAATGCGGTCGGGATCGGGAGTACAGAGGTGGGGAAGGTGGAGGCGGGGGTCATCGCTTTCTTCCAACATTATCGTTAGAGTGAACGGAAGGAGCTTGCCGACTTCGCGAGCCAATAACGGAAACTTTTCTTAACTGGAAAGATATAGTTTTGTTACCTAAGGCTCAGGAAGGAAGCAGGACTGAGGTGGGTGAGCCAACTAAATATTCAATCCTTACCTCATCCTGGGTTTTTGATTTGGGTTCCCATCTCACCCACCCTCTCCTTCCATCATCTTGTATAACTACTGTTTTATACCAACAAACGACGAAGCATCCCTCCCAGCAAGTTCCGCCTGGTTATCGAATTTCTATGAGGATGATGGTAACGATATTGTTGCTTGTAGGCCACATCCGCATACGTGCAGAACTCATACAGCGCTATCAGATCGTGTACGCCAGAGCCAAGGTTAAAACCATACATCTACGGCTAAGAACCGTCTCTGAGCCTCTGGGCATAGGTAAAGCCAACAAGAACTTCTCTTCCGCGCTCTAGCGTTTGATGCTGATGAATAACGCCATATTTCCATTCTAACTTCCATCCCACCACCTTCCCCCCCCCCCCTCTTCTTTAACTAAATTTGCACCTATTTCTATTCATTTTTGCTCGAAATCTAGCCCATAGGGGTACAAAGAAATGAAAAACTAGTGGTAGCGGGATGATCTTCTCACAAGAAATAAGATTTTTCCGAGTGAAAAACTATTTTATTCGAAATGTATGGATTTAGAGGCAATTCACCGACCTCTTTCAATTCGAAACAACTCGAAAAGATATGGAAAAACTCTCAAGTAGGCTCTGAATAGGTCAGAAATGTGATGCAAAAGACGAATGCATCATTAAATAGCATAGTGAAAAATAGCTCTATAGACCTGAACCCTTGCCCAATTTACCCAAAATTTCACAAATGCAGAGCAATGCAGAGAAGGAAGGCAATTTTTGTGTAAATATATTAGGTGAGCAACGGAGCAAAAACTTATCTAAGCGTTTCGAATCTTCATATCACTACGCGACAAATACACAGTAATTCCTCGTTTAGTTTCCCCAAAAAGCCCTACCAGCAATCAGTTTTCTTCTAGCTAAAGAACAAAATTCTATAAACGTAATATCGTAGTATTGACAGAAAAAGAAAAATTTGCATGAATAAAATGAAAGCAAAAAAATAAAAAAACTGATTAATTTGGGCCAGATTTCAGGGAAGGTTGAACATCAGACCGCCCTCTCACCTATTTTTCCGGCCTTTATCGACCACCAACACCGCACCCCCGTCTGCCATCTTTGCCTAGCATACTTCAACTAATATTTAGAGAAAAGAATTCGTCAAAAGCAACAAGGAATTTTATAGGCTTCTGGAATAACTTGCAGAAAAATTCAGTTAGAACTCCATCCAAGGTCGTCTGGATAAAACTTCAATGATCACTACACTACGAGACCAGTGACAACTCTTTTACATGATAAGTTCGAAAAATTATGTAGAGCCTTCGAGTGATGCCTATATAAAATTCCGCAGAAGATCCATTGAAAGCCGTCCCACCAGGATCCGACGAGATTCGAACTCGCGTTACTGGATTTAAAGTCCAGGGTGATAACCGCTACACTAAGAAACCAATGACATCTCTTGGATAACCAAATTTCGCCAAATATGTAGAGCCTCCTGGCGTGTAGATGCCTACATCAGACGTAAGTTGGACCTTGAAGTCCTGTAGTCAAGTGAAGTCATGTTAGCCAGAGTCGAAGTTGAATATTGTAGGCAAGGGTACAAAGTCCACGACTACACGATGATCGATTTATGCCTTTGATGTGAGGGGGTTAGCTATGTGGGTAGTCACGATTTCATGGAAATACTGGGAGCATCGGCTAGCTCAGTGGCTTTCCATCCAGTACAAGATTAACAGGTACCTTGGTGTCGTGTTTGTGTAGTCATGTATGTGTAGATGAAAGGGGAAAGGCGGAGACACGGTACTTCCAGATCAAAGAAGATTCAATAAAAAACGTCAAATCTTGGCTGGTTCAAAAATACAACAATTCTACTTTCCTCTTTCAGTTCAGTACAAGCACGCAGGCAGGCATGCGTCAACGGTTTTGTGGCAACTACCTCCAATGCGTAGTTTTCGGCCCATCGTTTGGGTACAAGATGTCGCACCCCGGTGCATCGATGCGAAGGCATCGATGGTATAGGCCTGTTAGGAGAAGCTCCTTTCTTCCTACACGATCCAACTCTGACGGCCGTTGACTTTTGATGGGTTCATACTTTTTGCGTCTTCGCCGACGGTCCTACTTGGCAAAATACACGAAGTTTGACAGGGTGCTTGCATTGCCAAAGGAGGAGGGTAACGTACACGATCTGGTAGAGCTGTCTGGGTTCTTCAGGTATGCGTGTGTGTCCTACAAGCGACAATCTCGTTGTCATCATGATGATTGAGATTCGATGATCAGACCAGAACTTGCTGGGAGGGACGCTCTCCGGTTGTTTGTATGAAATTTCGACCAACTTCAATTGGGAAACTCATGAAAATTTGGAGTTCATAGGTTTAGCTAATAACTCCAGCCTGTCGCCAAGGACCTTCTACGATTCTCACCTACTTTTCAAAGGAGGAATCTTATGCTCACATTTATGATGCAAAAAATGAAGCACGACATTTATAAAACACATTTTTGACTGGAGCTCAGAAGCCCATGGAATTCATTCTAAACAAAGTTCAAAGCAACTTTATACCTATGTATTGGCAATAAGGATGTGATGCATGCTGTTGTGAACTGATATTCAGAGAAAGAACCTAGAAGGCCCCATGGTTCAGAGATGATGGGTGACCAAAGATTCGAATTCGGATGATTATTTTAGCACCATGAAACTGCAGAGGCATTCGGTGAGACCAACATGAAGTAAGCGAAGAACTTCTCGTAAAGGGATTTGACAAGACGACAGCTTCTGCTGAGATTCGAACTCAGGTTACTGGATCCAAAGTCAGGGTATCAGCTGCTACAGTACAGGATCAACACCAGCTTTCAGATACCGACTTTCCCTAAGAAATCCCCAATGCTTCAAATGAGACTAATAGAAAGTGCAGCAGAGACTCCCCTGATAAGAGTCATTGCAAATCCTCGGACTTTAGCGAGATTTGAACTATTGTTACTAGGAAAAATAGGAACAAAAAGAGAAAAAAGGTGGTAACACCATTGCCGGCGAGCAATGGATGGGGACGGGCGGCCTTATTGGGTGATTCGCGTTGGTCAATACCTACCAACCAACTTGATCTGCCTTATATCGTTCATTTACAATAATAATAAACACACGTAAAGGAAAAAATGGCTCAGTGGCAAGAAGCGACTGCGTGTGTGGTCAAGAAACTCTACTACCAACTGGCAACTGTCCAAATTCAGCTAAAGCGCCAGTCATCAGAGATGGCTCTGTTGGCAGATGGACCACCTGGCATGAAAAATTCCTGAGCTTAATGTAATTGGGTCGGTTCGCTTATCTCGAACGGGATTTGAGAAAACATGAAGATACTAGATACTATACATGATTTCATCGGGTACTTTTACCAACATTAAGATTGACAAAGATTTATCACTTTTTTCTGTGATGTAGATCTTTCTGTTTGTCATGCAAGTTCGTTGTAAGTATAATTTATTTATTACATTAAGCATTCATCTATCTATTTCCTCTGTTCTGAAGATCGCACGATGAAACTCCGTTTTCTTTTAGTTTCGTCCTTCATGTTGACGCCGAGCCTGAAAATCACTCAATAGCTTTCCACCAAATTACTGGATATGACTTAAATTGTTCTCAAATTGCTATTCTGATATCACTAAAATTAAAATTTCCTTCGAGGATGTTTTTCTGAACGTTTCAGATCTAGGACAAAGGGGAAGATTGAGGATGGAAAGGCAACTGGCTCGGAAGCGCTATCAACCATGGCATCGAAGATCTCGGAAGTTACGGGATTAGGAGGCTTACCCAATTCTGGGCACTGTGTCCACTAAAGAAAAGATCCCAGATGCGTATAAGAACAGTCAGATCGTTCCCGACTTCAAGGAGAAACAAGGGACACAATGGAGGGCTATAACAACCAACCACCCACCACCACTCCCTTGTTCTGCATCAATCTGCTAGGATGAACAGATTGGTACTGAACAATTTCATTCTAGGACCACCTTTCCAAAAAGAATATTCGAGTGCATCTATACGACACTCCATTCTAAGCCTAATTTGCGGTTAAGCTAGGAGATATGGAGCTCGTGAAGCTCTCTCGGCAAGAGTACGACCTGTTCAGAACGTTTCTAGCTACACCCTAGCGAGAGTGCTTGAAGAATTATTCCCACGGCATATTATATTTGTTCTAATGGAATGGAACTAATGAAATGTGAATTTCTCGAGAAATTTGAAAGCCTCAACATTTTTTAAGCAGTACTGCTCAGCGCTTTCCCCGAACGTATTTCCCATTTGTTATTCGTTCGAAACCTTCACAAATTCACGAATGACGATTGAATGACTAACCTCTTCTCGTGTCATTGTCTTCCAGATTGAAGATACCGGTAAAATTGCCCTGCCTTCGAAATGAGATTGAAAAGTGGATTGGTTATTTCAACCTGAAATTAGAGTCTTCGTCAGCAGTCGCTCTTAATATGCTTCCAAGCTTACCCCACTAATTTTTGGGCTGCCGGTTTAGCACCTATTAATGAAACACAGGTATCAATTTTACGCGCGTAAAATCGATAAGTGTTCAGATAGAAAGGCGTCCCATCCCTTACCAAGCGCTCGGACTTTCATAACTTTCAGAAGCAAGCTGACTTTAGATCACCGTTTCTGTTTTCCCAGACGAATCTGGTATTGATATACCGATCCCAAAACGAAGAAAGAGCTCAGTGGCCTAGGCGAGGTACCGCCTCAGGACAGGAACAGATCTCTGGACTTTCCGAATTCCTCGGTACCCCACCTCCGCCCTTCGCCCTATTCAAATATGATGTGGGAGGGTGTGTAAAACCGGTAACTCATTTAAAAGTCTCACGCTGCCAACATCTAGCGATTTGATTAAAAGAGTTGAGTACTTACCGGTGCCACCATAAAACCAATAGATTTTCCCGGTGATTCATCAGTAAATTCTGACGTATCTTCTTCAATCAATTGTGCTTGATTCAGTGGGTTGAATGATGTCTGAAATTGTTTCTAATTAATGAATTATCAAAATAAAGCTTAATAGGACCTTTACTTATGAAGCATGACGTGATGTTTATTTATTAATTATAGGCTGAACACTTATTAACCAATTATCTTTCCCCCCGCTTACAAGATAGTCCTAAGGATCATTTGGCTAAAGGCTTTTCCGTGGAAGTTTAGATTGCGCAAAGTTGAAGCCATGTTATTCATGGTTACTGTAGTTGTTGAAGTCCGTAACGGATTTACCTGCGGATTGTCTCGTGTGAGCCGTTCATAGTATTGATCCAGTAACGTATAGGAAGCAATACCCACGACATGTGAAAGGAGTATTGTCGTCAAAAAACGTATTCCCATAACAGAAAATGAATTGTGGACCCTTAACAATGATTCATTAATAATCTAAAAAACCACAAAAAATTAAAATACGAAATTGCGCACGGTACAACAAAATAAGGGTCTCTGCAGCTTTTCCGGCTGGGCACGGTGCCAAGAACAGCTCTGATTGGTTAGTGTCATAACCTACCAATCATAGGTGTCTTAATCAACGTACTATCCAAAGTGTAAAGGTAGCGAAAGAGGCATCAAAGAAGTGGGGTTTTAAAGAAAAAAAAAACTCTCAAAAAAGTTGTTTAAAAGGGTTCGGGCACCACGACGACAGAGGTGACATGGAAGATGTGTTTAGACTAGCTATCAGTTGTGTGCTGATGCGTAGAGTTAGCTACACTGAGCCAAAAATACCAAAGTAGCCTCAACTGTCGCCATGGGTCACGATCAGTTTCATGAACTCTCAACATGTGCGCTCCACTGTGAATGGTGCAGACCTTCGAGATTTGTGAAACGCGGCTACCGGTGGGTGTGGCACACGGTGGATGCGATTTTCGAGCCCTTTTTATGCCCTATCTAGGCCGTTTTTCGAACTAATAATGTTACATTTATTACATTTGGTACAACAGATTCTTTATGGAGAGAATCTCGGAAGACAGTGTCTCGAAATGCAACTATAGGTAATCGTAGAGTAGAATTCTTGAGCTGAAAGTAATAGAGTGAGGAGAAGGAAACGAAAACAACATCGGACCTATTATGAAGTCACTTCAACAAAAATTAAGTACCACATAAAGAAGCCTAGTAAGGCCGTAGTAACCAGTAAAACTAATTACCAAAACCCAGTTAGCTGCTTTATGCTAATTATTCTTCTGGAAGCCGTAGCACGGGTGGAAAATGTGAAAAAAGAATTGGCTGTAGTATACGCCGTGCTTTTGACTTTGTCAGGAACAAAGAGATTTCTAATAGATTCTGAAGAAATAAATAGAAGTCCTGCATGAACAAATATCTAGTGCTAGCACCTTCTGCAGCCAGACTTTGCCAGACCTCCTTGAAAGAACACTCACCAACGCTTTGCAAAAGCTGTCATGTCTCGGGGGAGATGTCACCTCATAAGAGCTATAAATGGGATGGTAGGAAGGATAAAAGAATAAGAAAAGCATGTCATTAATTTTAAAAGATACGAGTCGCCCACGGGCTGCTTTTACCAGGAGAAAAAACAAAGGACGACGTTGTACTCGAACCCCCACAGCCTTTTCAATTTCGTTCTTAATAGATCTTTTTTTAGCTATGTACATAGATCAGAAATCTATAAGGACGATCATCTGATGTCACCTTCGAAGAAGTCACGCATTCCGCCTTTTCTATTGAAAAAAGTAAATAGGTGATGCTCAGCGAATATGCACTCTTTCTACTTATTATAGGAGGCATAAAGTCCTCTATGAGGTATAAAGGCTCAGAGAGCACCTTCAGGTACGTGCAAAAACGCAATTTTTTTGGCTTAGAATTCCCTAACTAGTTCCTTAGCCCAAATTGAGCTCATTCAGCTTTTGGTGGGTCTAGGAACTTCCACTCTCGTGCTAAGATTGTGATGAAATTTGACGATTCTATATCCTTAAATATCCTTTATCCTATAACCTTTTATCCTTAAATCGTCATTCAAATAAAGCGCTAATAGTGGGTAGGCCAGAACTGTGAAGCTATTCTGAACAGATGAGGCTTTATCCAGTGAAGGATAGTTTCCTCCAGCTTCACAGCTTCCACTTTTATAAAGCGAACCAGTTGGGTGAACTTCACGCCCACGCGGAAGCACAGGGGCTTTGGTTCTTCTAACTACTTCGGATGTTCCTGGTCATGTAGGGGCGTAAAAGGATGTCACTAGGGCCAATATGAATGTGTCAATGGGAAGGTTAAACTTCACCGAGCCACATACATCACGCACTGCGAGTAATTTTCATGCTGCTTCCCTATCTCTTCCCCAGTTTGTAGTGCCTGTCCATCTATGAAAATCCTCTGCCCCAAGGATCGAAGAGGTAAATAGTTGGACCTAATGTCCATGCTCGCCAAAAGAGTTCAGGGATGTCCTGAGCGGTGAGTGCTGAGTTGACAGTGAATCAATTCTGCAGACGAGACGAAGGAGTGTCTCTTAAAAGCAAACAACGTGGTTCCGATGACGAAGTATCAATCTGGACCGGCCTTCGATCTTTTCTTGGAAAAGCAGTGCTTTGAGGTGATTCTTCGCAGAATAAGCCTTGCCCGCTCAATCTGAGCGTACATGGCTCATTCTTCATCTCAAATTCCTGATGATGGACATGACTGGTCTAAGCAATCCAACTGACTCAACTGAATTTCGTCGACGATCGAATCTATTACCTCTGAATGAACTAGCAGTTTTCCTAAATTCAGCCAACCCTCCTCTCCCACCACCCATTAAAATGTCTTCGTTGGAGTTCTCACGCATCAAGTGCTCTGAGCAAAGCCGCTCTGTTCTTTCAAAAGAGAGAGAGAGAGGGTGATAGGTAAAGAGAAGAGAAAAGAGAGAGAAAGAAGGGGAGAGAGGGGGAGGGGGAACACCGTAAACCACTGGAAGGACCTAATATACATACGAAAGGTTCCCAGATGGAATAGGTTTCGAAAGAGTGAATTCTCCGAAGCATGACTCAAGGAACAAGAAATGAATCAGAGCTAGAATTGCTCTAGGTTTATATAGTAGACATAAACGTGACCTTCCTGAATAATTCCAAATGAAGTTCTTCCTGATGATGTCATGGGCAGCGAGAACGAAAGATGTAGCAGTTATTTTTAATACAACACAGTTTAGAATGCATATGCTCGTCTTGCATGGAGAAATGCCTGAATTGTTTATGCGGCCTCCCAAAGAAAGAAGTTCCGTTACTTGTAGTCCATTTGGTATGCGCCATGCAATTGTTAGAATCACAATTATTTAGGGGTTTAAAGGGAAAGTTCGCGATAAATTCGGGTAATCCAGTTTATGATGAAAAATGGAAGACGAGATCGAAACTAGTGCGACTGAGGTGAATAAACTGCGTGCACCGGAGTTTCCAAAGTGAAAAAGGCTTCGAAAAACCGTTAAAAAGGGGGCTGGACGAGAATGAACTAGAAAAATGAAGAAGAGTGGGGCGTCCGGAAGAGCCAAACAGTGTTTCACTGTGCGCGTGTGGGTCCTGGAGCGAATAACAGACAATGGTAAGCAAAAATTCATTCACTTATAAGCATAAATAAACAAAAAAAACCCTAGTAACAGTAAAAGTAGCTCACCTTTTTCAGCCTCTAGGAGTAGGAAATTAGATAAGGGATCACGGCAGCAAAAAGAAAAACAGAGGAAAAAAGAATGGGAGAAAAACATCGCCTCATCACTCGGCGATTAGCTGATTGTGCGTGGGTCCTAGAACGAATAATAGCAATCTGTATTGTCTCGACACTCGTCTAAAGTAACACCGATCGAGGGGCGGGAAAGCGAATTACGGCAGCAACGGGGCTTCCACTATGCCCTAAGCGCCGAGATTGTGGGAGCGACAAGGTCCCTTCTACCACCCATGGGGTGCACTGAGTATTCCTGAAGGAATAATTCAGTAAACTTTTTTATCGTGAACCCTTGCCTTTAACTATAATTGCAGTGTATTCAGCAGCCTACACGGCCAACAAGAGCTTGGAAGCGTTCGAGACCCACACCAGCTGGTAGGCGTGGTTCATGGGCTACAAGTAGAGTCGATTTTGACATTGAGAAGTACTTTGCACTATCGAATTAGCTCTTCCCCCGTCTACTCGGCCAGCCTTCCACTCGATCCCAATTTTCCCTGAGCAGCAATGGTTAAATGATGATACGACGAATTATCGCATTGATTTCCATTTTCGGCTGGTTAAGAAATGAGGAATAATCAGGAAAAAATGGGACTGGTTCATTTATACGAAATTACTCATTCTTTTTAAGCTTTTAACACAACAGTAATGAGGTGATGTAAGTACATAATCCTTCATTAAATTCGTCATTTGATGAAATTAATAGTCCAGTGAACATCTAATCAAATTTCCAATTTAATAAATGATTGAAAGGTGTCTGACTGATAAAATGAACCTAGCTGAAAAAATGTTATGACAAAAAGATGAGTAACCATCCCTTACACAGCCGAAGCTTTACTTGGGCTCCCCAGATTCTTGAGGACACTTCAGTTAACGCTTATCACTACCCAGAAATATAAAGTGCAGAGCCACTTGAACGGTATTGGAAGTGGACTGTGAGGCTATTTGCAAGGCTAAGGGTTCAAACTGCAATTTGCAAGTTGTACCCCTAGCAAAATTGCAAGTTTCGGAGCTCTTAGAATAAAATGTATCCAGGATAGTTTGGGTGGCACGAAAATGTTCATATACGGATTTTCTTGAAGGATCTATAGAGCATAATCCAAAGTCAAGGTTGTCTTTGAGCAGAAGCGTTGGGACTCAATCCATAGTCTGTGGTAATGATCCCGTTAATGCAGTAGAAACTTCACGAGGTCGACGAGATATGGGCAAAACTTCGGCCTCGGACGGAATTTGAAACAGCACTTGGGCTATCCGAGTACCGAACTCCTATCCCTTATACTACCGAGACCTCGATTGTCCCCCCCCCCCCCTTCGACCCCCATCTCGCCCCTTCTTGATGGCTTATATGCCACAGCTTATGAGCACTTTCTTTCGGATATCGTACTGCTGCGAAATAATAGTAATCAACAGAAAGATCAAGTCAAAAAATGCAGCAAAAACCTAAGGTAGGATTGGCCCTCATGGGCCCCAGTTTTTGCTTTCAAGAGAATTGCTTAGGAGGACAATATTACGATCAAAATGAGGGCCGACTATCATCATCTATTGTTCAAATCAGGAGTTCAGGTGCGTGTTTGAACCCAGTCCTCTTCTAACTTTTCCAAAAATCAAAGCAATATTTCTCGTATTTTTCCCCACTTTTTAAAATTAAGTACAACAAAGCCTATGGGAGTTTGAGTGGAAATAATGAGCGAATCTAAGACAATTCAACAAAA